AAATTTGTACTTGTGTTATCTATTTCCTTTATTTCAGATAGATAGATAGATAGATAGATAGATAGATAGATAGATAGATAGATAGATAGATAGATAAAAAATAAACTATATCTATAGATTTCTATTTTAGGAAGGCAATAGACACACAATATTTCCAGAGAGCAGAATATAGGAAGGATACAAGCATCAAAAGGTTTAGTGATGGGATGAGTTAGTTTATGTTACGTTTGACATTACACGTAGTTCTTGTAGCGGCTGCCTTGTACAGCAACTGTTCACAGTTATGATGGTGATGAAAAAGTAACTTTACAACCAATCCTCGCATTTATGACCTTTGCAGGTCTGTAAAGCAACAGAAAGCTGAAGAACAGGTAGTCCTTGCTTAATAACTGCCCTTTTTTAGCAACCATTTGAAGTTGTGACAACACTGAAAAAGTAACTTCACAACCGGTCCTTACACTTACGACCATCACAGCATCTCCACAGTCACATGATCACAGTTTGTGAGATTCACAGCCAGCTTCTGACAAGCAGAGTCAATGGAGAAACTGGCAATAAAATTGCAGGTCGCGGTCACATGATGTCTTGCTTAACGATCGCAGCAGAAGTGAAGTCATAAGTGCAATTATGTGATTTTCGCTTAGCAACTGCATTGTTTAGCGATGGAGTTGCCGGTCTCAATTGCAGTCGTTAAGCAAGGACTACCTGTAAGATCATAAACACGTCGTGGTTTCACTTAGTGACCACTTCACTTAATGACCCAGTTGCCAGTCCCAGTTGTGGTCATTAAGTGAGGACTACCTGTAGTTTTGCAACAAAATGTGTTCATTTCCTGTTCCGTAGCGTAGGGCCTTTCCAAATCTGAAAAACAGAATTTGTGTATATGTTGATTTGTGGCAACTTGGTACAGTTCTTTACCTAAGGTATGGACCAGGAGAGTTTGAGGAAATGCATGGCAAGTGAATTTTTGTTTGGCTGGTGAAGTGAGTCCACAGTTCCTTACCTCAGTCTATAAACATATCTAAAGAAACAGGCAGGAAAACAGAAATAGCAAGGACTCGTAACTCGGTAATGCATATTCATTGAAGCTTGTAGCTATTGTGTATATGTGAGAAGAAGAATACTTACCACAGAGATAAAAGTCCTGTACAAACTTAACCCTTTATGTATTTTTAAGTTTCAGAAAGTGATCAGAGCTTTGAGGTGACTATGACTGCTACCACAGAGGTAGCTGACAATGAGGTTAACGAAGGAACAGTTACTCAGATTCAGGTATCATACAGTTCTAAAGGTGTTTAATGCATTCTTGGGGCATGGTTGTATGGGATTTAAAAATCTAAAAAATAGGGTTGCCATCAGAGTAATGAGTTTATCCCTAAATACCAGCAGCATCTGCAGGATTTCACTGTTTCAGTCAGAAATTGCACTGTGGGGTCATGACGGAAGTCCTGCCGTTCTTGGGGGTGCATATGATGCCACAGAACTTGTAGAAAAAGGATGGGATTTGTGTTGTGACACCACAATGCTCCACTGAAGTCAACTGAGTGTTTGGGCAAAACCTGAGATACTAAAATAATTCTCGGCCATTATATTTGACCTGATTAGTTTGGCTGCCTTGAATGAAAAACATCCATCTGTCTGATCATTTCAGATACTAAATTATACTTTGGATGGAATATTTAATACCTATAAGAGCCAGAGCAATTGTCCCTCTGCCCCCCCTTAAAAAAATCTATTATGTAGCAGGCACTGCATCCTTGATTTCTGCAGCAGGGACAATTCAACAAATACTGAAGGACTATAAGTAGATGTTAATCATCTGCAATCATTTTAGAGCAGTGCAGACAGGAAGATGGGAATAACTCGGGTTATATCCATCAAACATTTTCAGGTTTTGCCTTACGTTCCAAAACAGAAAAAAGTGGGGACATTATCTACTCTCCCCTGTCAGGCCATTTGGATTCAGTATAATCAATAGGAATGTCGGTGTAATATTTCTATTGATTATACTGAGCAATCTGGATTCAGTGTAATCACAATAAGAATGGATTTATTTTACTTATTTATGAAGCAAATTTATATAGCTGCCCATCTCACTGAAGTGACTCTGGGCAGCGTACAACAATCAGATAAAAACAAAAAAAGAAATATAAAAACCACATTAATAAATACTGTAAAAAGCCAAAAATACAAACCACAGGGGAAGGGAGAATAAAAATGGCCCCCTCAGCAATGGAGCCATCTAAGGCAGGTCTCTGGTTCCCTGGGAGCCCCAGGCCTGATCATTTAACCAGGTCTTGAGGGCCTTTTGGAATATCAAAAGGGATGGCACTAATGTAATCTCAGGAGGAAGGATGTTCCATAAAGCGGGTGCCACAGCATAGAAGGCACATCTTCTGGGACCTGCCAAATGCAGGTCCCTAGCCGATGGTACCTGCAGCATGCCTTCTCAGTGAGATCTGATGGGGCAGGCTGATGTGATCGGGGAGAGGTGGTCCCTCAAATAGCCCTGTCCCATACCATTTTTTTTATCTGCGCTCAGTCATTACCGACTCTGCAGTGACTGCCTGGATGAGTCCTTGCAGTTTTCAAGGCAAGGTGTTTCGGAAGTG